TCCGGACAATTGAGCATTCAGTGTATAGCCACTTTCTTATGTCTCTTTATGTCTTTTCGTGAACTACAAGGTAAGATTATTCGTCATCCTTGTTACGTCTAGAAGTGTTTCTCGAAATCCGAGTTTGACTTTCAATAAGTAGATGATTTCTAAAACCATCTGAGCACGGCCATGCATTTTCACAGACTCGTTCTTCGAGAGGCCTTGTAAACAACAAGACATGTTTCCTATTATTATTAGGGGGACATTTCCAGTCTTGTAATGTAGATTCTCTTACTAAGAGGACCTAGCCGCCTGATAGCCATCGTTATAATCCCCAATTACGGCAGACGTTTGACCGACATAAAAAATGGACTAGTACTCAAACAAGAGACCTCACAATACTCATGGTCAAGGAAAAGAGTTCCGATAGCAATAATGAGAAATATACTTATGACGATTTTGAATCTCTTAAAGTATTCTCATAGGTCGATCTAGTATGGTTCTAAACCAATACCTGTGCAAATGATTCATGACAATCATGTCCTTGTATCACAAGAAACGGTGCTATAAATCAAACTACACACTAATCTCAAATGGTCATTAATCATCCATCGTTTAAATGACCTTGATTAGGGATAATTTCGATTATAATATTCAATGTTCACTTAATAGGTGTTTCCTTACCAAGACAGGTCTTGATACCCTATTTTGAATATTCCAAGAATCAAATGGACTCATTATTTAATTCTAAACCACAATTAAATAGCAAACGGAGTGATAAAAATTGCATGAAATTTTAAATTACTCCAAAACCTGAATGGTTCATCTTATGATAAATGGTTTTTCCGAATGTTTTAAGAGTATCACTCTTTATAAAACATCTATAGAAATCACACCCATATCTAATATGCTTGATTTCTTTCACGCAATTGTGAATGTTGTCGTTTACTTATTGCATAGGTTTGGTTATAACTACTTTGCTAATCTTAGCATCTTCATTACTGGCCACTTTCATAATAAGATGATAAATTTGAAAGTGCCGTGGATTATATGTGATTTAGGATCTATTATCCAATTGATGGCTCCCACTCATTTTCATGATTAGGATCTTCAACTTGACAACCTACAATCATTAACGTTCAACAACGAACTTTCCATAGAAACATCTTTTTTATTATTGCCTTTAAGGCAACAATATTCTCAACATATATTTTAGTAGGCTTTGTGATGATGGTTTTCTTGGGTCTCACAATGATTTGGGATACCCTTATCACTTGTGATCATGGAAATTCACTTTAAATTCCCACACATTACACATGGATACACGTCCAAGTTACCATTCTCAAGCCACGACTCATTTTAAGCTCGTGCTTATAAACGACTTCCTTGTTAAGGATCTAATCCTTGTTAAGGCTTGTTCTTGCACATCAATTCTCAAATTGTATTTGTTTCCACAAGTCAAGAACTCCTCCTGTTACTTATCCAAGTACTTTGGATGTTCTTGGCCATAATCTAACGATATAATACATAGATTCAGAATGATTGGTGCTTCATACATACTTCACATGCTCTAAGAAAGTAAGTCCTACGACGATTCCATATCATAGCGTACATGATGGATTAAGTTGCAGAGTAATTCTCAATCTTATTCTATCCATGTGATATTTTAGCTCATTCAGTTTCACCGAGTCTTGCTAAATTATTTGCAATTTGATATGGTTGAAAGTCTCTACAAGAGTCTTTCTTGTCTGACTTAGTATTTAGCCTAGCTCATAGTTAGTTAAAAAATTTACTTAGTTTTATACATACGGGTCGAAAGTCTTTCAAAGTCCTTTAATTCATGTTTAACACGGTAAACTCCTTTACACGTTCAAACATTTTATTAAGTCTATACAATAGAACTTAATACCCAATACGTACTAAGTATCGTCTTTTGTTTGGTTCATTGTCGAAAATACTTTCAAATCTAAGCATTTAGCATTTGATGGTTATTTCACAACAGAGTTCGTAGACTTCTTATTGGACCTTTATATAATTTACTTTTTCTCCCACTAAACTTCTTATTTATAAGAATTTCTATGTTTCTCCATGAGTCAATCCTCTTATTAACTTCATGAGAAAACACGTTCCAATTCCTATATGCAATGCTTCCTTAAATCCCATAACAGATTCATTGAGCTTGCTTTCAAATCTAGCATTATTTAGATTTTCAAAACCCTTAGTCTATTTTCATAGTCATTTCCAAAATCCTATTTTAGGAAGGCCGTTTTGGTAACTATTTTTCCATATTTCATATATGGAATTTTGCTAGAACAATCACGAAAAGGCATGAGCATTCCGATTGGTGAGTAGGTTTTTATTAAAATCAACTCCGTGAATTTAATTGTATCCTTTTCATCCAATCTAGCTATGTATGCATATACATTTCCATATTTGTTAGTTTTCTCCTTGAAAACTTATTTGCAATCGATGGGTCTTTCACCCTTCATGCAAATTAATGAAGTTTCAAACATGATTTTCAAACATGGGGTTTGTTTCGGATTTCATGGCCTCTAACCATTATTTGGAATTTGGATTTGTCGTAGCTATCTTACAAGACATTATTTCTTTACTATCTAATAGTAACTAGTATGCTTGTAAGCCTTAGGTTTATTTCTAACTTAATAGAAATTTATAGGATTCAATCCAAGCCTTTGGTGAATTGTATACCTATACGGGGCAATTGCATCAACCACTGAGTTTAAAGGTGCTTCTAAAGCCCTTTTATTATGTTGATCTTACTCCAACATTTATGATGTTTTGTGAGAAATGAATTCTCTTTTAAGGCACTTGTAAAGTCGTTTTGAGTATTCTTGATCAAGTATTCTCACGAAGCCCTTTTAAGGTCTTTCGAGAATCTCAGTTCTAGTTTGTTGCTAAGCTCGATTGTCATCGAGTTTATTTTCCTCCCACTTGTCATTTTGGAAACGTGTTACTTTCCAGAAAGACACCACTTAGAGCAACAAACACTATATTCTCAATTAGGTTGTGGAGGTAATTCCCATGGTCTCACTTGAATGCTTACAAAGAGACATGTATATTTTCTTTGGGTAAAAGTTTGTTGTAGAAAAAACAGTTAGCTCCCACTTGAGCTATCTTAGCCTTTAATGAGCCATTAAGCTCCTACTCAACCACCTAGCTCTTGCTAAGCCAGTGAGCTCCCACTGAGTCACTTAGCTCCCACTGAGCCAATGAACTCCCACTGTGGCTAAGAGTTTTAGACATATACTTGAAAAAGACATTTATAAGATAATTCTATCCATAACTGAATATGGCGTCCTTTCTTAGCTTCGACATTTTGTTTAGTTTAACATTAGTCCTTCGTGCAAATCTTAAGAACTTTATAGGAAGGGATGTGATCCATCATTGTTCGAGTCATTTTTAAATGGCATCGAGGTCTCCGTGAAGTCACACTCTATTCTTTGTGGAGTTATTTATGAAAATTTCAAGGAAAATTTGATCCCAACTTTCACCCATTTTCTTTCATTAATCCCAACTTTCAGTTATTACTGATTAATCCCAACTTTAGTACCCTTTTTTTTTATCCGGTCCAACAGGTTACCAAACCTATTGTACCCGGTTTAATCTGACGTGGCAGTAGCTGTTGCAAAATTAATTTATTTTTTCCTTTTTTAAAAAAAACGGTAAACAAAACACCCCTTTGCTATTTATTTCCCTCAAATTTAGCCGTTGCAACCCCTGTTTCATCACTCTTCTTCTTCAAATTTCCCCTTTCAAAATTAGGCCCTTTTGTAATTGGAATTGTAATTTGTCCTTCAAATAAAATCGAAATCTTATTTCCTCACTCTTTTTCTTCAATGGCTGGCGGTTCTTCTGGCTCATATTCGAACACAAGGGGAGGGACATATCCAAGAACTAGATGTTCATGCGGAATGGTTGCGGTGGTTCGAACAGTCAAAAGGGGCCATAATAATGGGGCTAAGTTTTATGGATGTCCAAAATGGCCAGTATGTGTAGTTGGGTTGTTTAATTTCATTGCTGGGTACTCAAATTTTAGTTTGTTTGAATTAGGGTTGAACTTGTAATTTATGACTAAATTGTTGTGTTTGGATGTGCAGGAAACCAATTGTAATTTTATGAAATGGGTTGATTGCAATCCTGTGGAGGAAGATCTATGCTTTCAAATATTTGAGAAGGATACAACTATTGCAGAAATGGAGCTCCATATGAGTTCATTTGAAGATAGAGTGAAGAAATTGGAGGTCAAGAAACTGAAATTGGAAGATTTGGTGAAAGAGTTGAAAAAAGAACTCTGTCAACTTAGGATGCAACTTGTAAAGGCATCAAGGACTGAGACTCAGTTGTTAATGGCTCTATTTTTCTCATGGTTGTTGTTTGGCATAGTTGTTGTGTACTTGAAGTAGGGGTAATGTAATGTTAAGAGGTTATGGTGGATCTTGTAACAATGACATTGATAAATAAAATGCAGCTCTTAGTTTTTCTATAAATTTTGCAATCATGTCACCATAATAGTCATATAAACATGCATCTAATTATATAAGTCACCACAACATAACATCCAAATCCAAATATCAATGTTAAACAGCACAGTTGCTGTCAAAATTAGGCTTTAGTTAGGCAGCTAAACTAAAGCAAAATGCTGCCACTCCCAACATACACTACTTAAGCATCCAGTTTGTACACACATGTACCAGAAGTTTACTGCAACTACCTCAAACTGTAATCTTAAAACATTAAGGTTGTGTTCCTTGGTGAAGGGTGGATTGCTGGCTTGACTGACCTGGTCATTGGTCTTCCAGTTGACTTTGCATTCCTTGACTGAGACATGAATTAGAATGTAGTTAGTAACAAATAATTATGCATCACAAACAACAATAATTCACCAAAGTTCAGTTGTTCCTAACCTCTGTGATTAAAGACCCATCATTTCCAATTAAAATACCAATTCCTCTAGGCAATTGATGTCTTCCCCTACCTCTAGCTCTGCCACTTCTTCCCTATCCCCTCCCTGAGCCACCAGTTGGTGCAGATGCACAAGAAGATGGTCTTGTTCCCTGTCCCCTGGAGCCTCTTCCTCCTCTGATAGCTCTGCCCCCTCTTCCTAACTGTGTAGGCTGTGCTGTGACAGTATGGTGTTGTGCTGCAGCAGTTGTGTTCAGTTGAGGCTCACATGGTGCAGATACAGTGGAATGGGGTTGCTCTCCATTTTTCTTTGGTCTTCCCCTTGCTCTTTTAGCAGGTGGCTCAGATTGGATTGTAGTGTCCCTATTTGGACACCTCCTCTTATTATGCCCCTTAACTTTGCAAATTGTGCAAGTCATTTCAACACCAGTTTTTGTCAAGGAACCATGTTTCTTTGGATTCTCAAAAGGATCTCTGATCCTATTCTTCCTAGGCCTTCCTGGACCTATTTTGATTGGGGGTGGGTCCAATGCAAGGGCTACTTTAGGCCAGTACCTCTCTCCGGCAAGGGGTGGAATTGAACCTGTACCACAACCACATCAGTTAGCAACAACACCATGCAATTCTTATAAACTAGCTAAAGAAACCATGTTACCTGCATATGATGTTAGGTAAACCTCTCTCCTATAACAGGGATGAAAAAATTGCTCAGCTTCCTTGTTGGCAAAGAAAACACATGCTACAGCATGACAACAAGGAATGCGAAGCATGTCCCATTTCCTGCAAGTGCAGGTCTTTGCCTCAAGGTTTACAACCACCTGATCAAGGTTGTAAGACAAATTGAATAGAGTGTCACTTGAGGGCAGAACTTCACAGTAGGCTGCCTTATTTTTCTCTTTGTCAAGCTTTGACTGTATTCTAGGACAAAGATAGGTAGTTGTCTTTTCCATGTCTTGCCTTTTTTTCACCATTCTCTGCATCAGTTGACTTCTAATCTCCTCAATCATGAATAACAGATGTTTTGTCCTTGCATTTATGATGAATCCATTGAAAGTTTCTGCAATGTTGCTTGTTATTGCATCAGTCTTCACATCAGTGCTTAAGAATGCTCTGCAGAATAGATGAGGATTGTATTTCTGGAATGCTACAGCTGCTTCTGGGTTCATCACCTCAAGCTCAGTCAATGCATACTTATAATCTGCCTCATTGTATGACTTTGCAATTTTCCAAAATTGCAATTTCAACTCATCACCTCTATAAGTCTTGTGCCACAAGGCAAAAATGTGCCTTGCACAATGCCTATGTTCTGCTTTGGGCAGAACTGAAGCAACAACATTCAAGATTGCCTATGCAATTGCATTATAAACAAGCAAACAAAACCAGAAAATGAGCAAATTTTCTCTTTGTCATTGAAATAAATAAAAATGAATCAATATTAGAGAGAGGCTAACCTGATGCTCATCAGAGATAACAGATAATCCTTCACCTTCACCAAGGTCCAAGCATGCTACCAAATGTATGAAAAACCACTCCCAACTCAGATTGTTTTCCCCCTCTGTCACAGCCCAAGCTATGGGATACATTTGGCCATTTGCATCCCTACCAACTGCACATAACAGCTGCCCACCAAGGAAAGTCTTCAAAAAGCATGCATCTATAGCTATCACCTTCCTGCATCCTTCCCTCCATCCTTTCATTAACCCTTCAAAACACATAAAAAGCCACTGAAACACTGGTGGTGGTTGCTTGGGCATGACTGTCACCTACTCTGATTTAGAACCAGGGCTATTTCTCCAATTCAGCTAAGTATCCACCCACTTTCTGGTAGTGTTCATGCATAGAACCATGTAGCAATCTGTGACCTGCATATTTGACTCTATAAGCAAACTCCCTTTTAACTACCACCTTGTATGCTCTCCTTATGCACTCAATTATTTCTTTTGCAGGCCAGTGAGGCCTAGTTTTGAACACCTCAATAAATTGCTTGGCCACCCATGAACACTTCATTTGCCTATTCATCTGCATGTTTCTCTGGCAAGTGTGCTCACTGACAACCCTCTTCACCATCAATGCAGATTTTCTAGAATGCCATGAAGCATAGACATAAAAAGGGCAGCCCTCACTGCACTTCACCCCTACCCTTTGCCCTCTCTTTTTGTTACTATCAGCTATAAACAAATTATTCCCCTGCAGAATGGCATATTTTGCTACTGCCTCCTTAAAATCCTCCCTGCTAGCAAATCTCAACCCTACTTTCCACTTAAATTGACTAAAATCAGTGTTAGGGCCTACTAAAAGACTAGATCTCCTTCTTCTACCTACACAATCATCCTCAGCTTCAGAAGATGGTAGGGTGTCTTCATCTTCCTCACTGTCTGCATCACTCAAATTTTCATGAGCACCAGTGACAGTACCTTCTCCTTCTGTTGGCTCAGCCTGTGAACTAAGCCTCCCTGCAGCTGCTTCCCTTTGCAAATACTGGGCTAGCTCTACTATCCCCTTGTTCCAAGCATTCACTATCTCTCTAGCAGTGTTGTACTCATCATCACTGACATCTGAATCAAATTGTTGCTGCTCCTCTAAGATTTCTTCCTCAAACTCATCCTCAACCTCTGGATCTAAGTGCTCTAAAAAAGCATCTCCCTCATCTTCAAACCCTGAATCATCATCAGTATCCACATCACTGTACACTTCAACAACAACTTTTCCCTTCCCCTTACTACTGTCTCCCAAACCAACTCCCTTCCCCTTATCTGTAGTACACTCAGGCACAAATGTTGGATCTCCACTATCACTCTCTTCACTATAATCTCCAATCAACTCATTCAAAGGAACTGGACTGTCAGGCCTATTATCATGCCACTCAAATTCATCAACAGCTACACTTGGTTGTCTTTTATGTTCAACTGGTAAAGTGGTTTTCTTATTTGTTTTGGTGGAAGGGGTTTTGGTGGATGCAGTTGGTTGTTTAAAACCTGAAGCTAGATCTTCTTTTTGTTTAGGTGCATTATGAGTGAGTGAGTTGGGGGTTTGCTTTTCAGTAGGTGAGGAGGCATCAGTATCCAATGGGGGTTTTTTTGATAATAAATGTGGGGCAGTGGGCTATTTTCTTCTACCACTGGACCTAACTCCTGGAGTCAAAGCATCTTGACTTTGTGGTGGGGCCTTTTTTGGGGTATGTTTTTTGGCTTTTGTAGTAGCTGCATATGATTGAGAAGCTTGGGTTAAGGGTTGGAAGTGTGTTTCAACACGTGGGGTTTCAATTGTTTCAAGTAAAGGTGCCTCTTGAACAGGCTGTACATATACCTCCACACATCTATGTTTGTCTCCAAAATATGAAACCTCCCAAACATCATCATCATTCATCAACTTCCTCAACCCATTGGTTAAACTCACTTCAGGGACTAAATAACACAGACCCCCACAATTCTTTCCACAAATCCCCTCAACCAGTTCAATTAACCTAGAATACGATAAAACATCAGGTTCTAATTGCGTTGTCCAAGCAGACCCTCCTCGATACACTAATTCACCATTACTAACAAGCTTAAACACTCCCCCATACCATATCTTTAGAGTAAAGGTACCAACCATGTTAACCTAACAATTTGCATCAACATTAAACAACAAAGCAATGAATTCTATCAAAGCCTAGAAAAATAAGCAACAATTACACCCACAATTCCAAAAATTCACAAACAATAACAATTACCTACCATTCAATCAACCATACCCTTTTAATCATTCCACAAAACAAAAACAGCATATATTCATCAAATTAAACTACAAACGACCTAAAGTTATCACATTTTCCATAAAAAGATGCAAACAAACACCATTCAAGCATCATAACAAGTACGGATTTAGGGTTTTACCTCAAATGGAAGATCAGCAGAGTCTTGCTCCAAGTTCAGCGCTTTTACCCAAAATGGAAACTCGATCACTTGCAAATTTTGATGAACAGTCGCTTTCACCATTAATTGTGGGCCGTTGATAAATTTTTTTTGCTGTTAATGGAAAAGAAGAGAAGCTTAAAGGGGACGAGTTATGGCGGGGAATTAATTAGAACAGAGGGGTGGTTGAAGGAGGTGAGTCAGCATTTAATTAGGGAGGGAAATCACCTTCCTAAGTCAACAAAGGAATATATTGACTTGTTAAACCGGTCACCAGTCAAAATGGCCGGATAAAAAAAAAAGGGTACTTAAGTTGGGATTAATCAGTAATAACTTAAAGTTGGGATTAATGAAAGAAAATGGGTGAAAGTTGGGATTAATAATTACAAATTTTCCAAATTTCAATTTCATAACTTTGTGATGGTAACGCTTGGCTCAAGAAAACATCGCTCCATCTAATCTAGACGTTTTGATATCTTGCCAAGTCGATTTTGTACTTCACTAAACTCTTGAACTATTCAAGGTCAAGTTTGTTCACGTTTGATGAATATAGCCATATTATTTCAAATTCTTTGTGAAACGTTGAAGTAAATGAATCCTCTTTAGCTTTCGGAGTCAATTGTCTATACCAAGAACAATAGCTCTTTACTCTGTCGGTTTCAACAAGTAAGAATTGCTTGTCTTAGAATGATTCTGAATCGATCAACTATCAAGAGCCTATTTAATAGAGCCTTGAGTTCGTTCTTGTCTATGTGACATTGAAAAAGATGTTCGGAACGCAAATCATGCCCATGACTTTAAGCTTTTTCCAGTTTATCATGTTAAGAAAATGTTTGTTTATAATCAAGCATTATTGGCTCATAGTTTAGAAAATCATGCCATTCAAATAAATTTGCATTATTGCTCATAGCTTTGAATGTGAGTCTTTCCGTGAGTAAACGGATCAATTGCTGATTATGGAACACAATAACCATTTGTTTGTTGCAGCCTTAGCTTAAAGGTCTTTAAACAAAGCATACGACCTTACAACTGATGTAGCACCACTTGCTTCATCCTAAGCTTGTGAGTCGAACTTAGCTTATCTTCAATAGTTTCAGGTCACTTTCAAAGTGGAACACTCAAGCAATATCCGATACTTTGTGATGATAATGAGTTGCTAAGTTAACTTCAATAACATGAATTCTTTAGTAAAATGGAATCTCATTCCTTTTTTTTTCCTCATTTCGTATATTTCTTATCATACTTTATCTCATAATCTATAAGAACCTTTTCTTAAGAGTCTATGGCTTTTATACTTTGTTAGGCATAATTAAGCATCTAATGCGCCGTAAAACAAAGTTCCATCTTTTCCTTTAATTCAAGCTTGAATTACTACATCAATGAGTCCTACTCATCTATGTACTAAGCGAAAAGATATGTTAGTTGTCAATATTGATAATTTGAGTTTGTAACTCAATACTTCATGTTTTTATCAAAACTACCAAGTATTTTGAATACATGATGTCCAACCGTCCTTTCGGACTTTGTTATAAAAGTCATTTATGAGAATTATATTTTAGAAATGCTTTACTTTTCTTTGAGAACCATTCTGAAATATTTCCTTTACCAATCATGGAAAGAAATACAGTTCAATTTGGAATTCTACAAATATAAGTGCAAAGTATAACCATTTATCAAGTAAATAACATAATAAGTTTAAAAATTAAAAGGTATTCATGCAAATTTTCAATCTTATTAAACGTCTTATCCACGTATTAACCAAAACAAACTTGCATACCCGGTATGCCTTATGAGTCTAGGGAGCAATAGTGATGCCTTGCTTTGGCGTAGCCCATCACTACTCTCAATAAGTCGATAAGTGTTGTTTTGAAATGGTAATTTTACTCAATATTTAGGGACATAAGGTTTCTATGTTGGTTGATTTAAGTGAACTTAATTAATCATCACAACATTCGAAATCCTAAACATGCATCTAACATATAATTCATATATAAATAATCATGAATATGTAAAGCATAAGCATTTTGATGCATATTGGCAACTAGCATGACCCCTTGAATTCTTCAAGTCTTCAAAGGTCTTCTTTTGCAATTTCATGGCTTTGTCTTCCAAGAACCTCCATCTTCAAGACTTGACCCTAATTATGCAATACTAGTATCTACGATTAAGACTAATTTAAATATTAAGGTACAAAAATACTCAACGGTACACAGACCGTATTTAGATTTACAAAAATACATCACGGATCGCAGTCCGTATTTTCTATCCTAATTGGGCCCCACTAGTTGCCATTTTTATATAACCTGTGAGAGAATATACATTACATTCATCCATTCACTATTTGTGAATGGCCCATGCATTTTACAACGATAAACAAGTAATAATGCATAAACACACGATAACTAGTAACCAATCTAGGTGGTTAATGCAATTAAAACGCCTAATTAAAACTAATCAAAGTTGTTTTAACCGATTAATTAAATAAGCGCAATTAATATTTGAAGCTCCCAATTCCGCATCCATCTTAATTAATCCAATTAATTAAGCCGGTAAAACCTAATTATTTGCCAAAATAATTTTTTTGTAAATGCAGCTCATAAAACTGAGGCCTAGCCTCCAAAATTTATTAAAATAACTAAAACCAAATTAGATTAATAAAATAATTAAAAAGGAAAAATAAGCAAAACTTTACGTAGTCCAAAATATCCAAGTGCCTAGCACTAAGATTTGGAGTGCTCACAACTCGCACACAACTTGCACGTTATTGCATCACATTGCTTCACCAGCAATGTCTACTTATATTCCCCTTAATGATGTACCAAGATATGCACAAGGCTGCCATGGTGCGCCAAGGGCTGCAC